GGAGGTATCCGGAGCTCCGCACTCCGCCGACGATCGAAGATCAGAGACGCCGCCGCATTTGCCAAGGTTTCGAAGATCAGGTGGGCCGGGCACGTCATGCGTTTCGAGGACGACCTGGACCAGAGCGATTACCGACTGGATTCCACGGGATGTCAAGCGAACATCTGGGACCGCCTACGCGATGGTCAGACTTCGTGAAAGCTCTGAACGAATGGTATGAAGTTCATCGTGTCCCTCGAGCAGAGAGTCCATTGGGCAACTCTTGCACGTTGCAGGGACGAATGGAGACGTTACTGGCGCCCGCTCGAGGAACTCGATGATCAACGGGAGCACAGGTGATACAGGTGATAGATATGGATTTACCGCTTTGAGAGAAAGGTTACATTTCGCTTAAAGGCCACTATTTCTCTCAAAGCGCTAGGTTGATAATTGCATTTTCCTTTCCGCGAAAAAACTCAAAACGCCGACGAAAAGTATGAACGGAGCCTAAGGAGAAGTCTGGACACTCGCCACCGCGCAGTGGGCCTTGAGGCTGCGTTCATACTACGCGTCAGAATACGTAACGTTGTCGCACGCCATTAGCAAAGTATAGGTATTGGATCTAGCGTACGCCAGCGCAAGTCAGCGTTTGCTCAAGCTCGAGCTGTTGCTGCTCAAGCACAAACTGCCCGCGTAAACGCTACGCACGCAAAGTATGAACGCAGCTTGAAGAAAAACATCAACAAATAGGAACGCAACTGATGTAGGCAGTTCACTCGTGGTGGATGCACGATTCGCGCATCCACAGAACAAGTCTGATCCCAGTAGAGAAACTGGTTCTTTGCCGAGGGCAAAATGGAAATAGCCCGAATTAGTATTAAAAGAACCGCAAAGATAAGCACTCACTGTCCGAATTCAAAGGACTACAATGGAAGTGGTCACGGAGTCGTAGCAGACAAAAGAGCATGTGATTCAACTTCACATGGATGGAACGTGGCTCACGCATTCAACTAATGGTTAAGTACTGAGAGAGTCTTCACAGCAACAGCCAATCTAAAGCTCTTCAGTGCAAAATGATGAGGTGCAAAGGCTGCACGACACGTAAGCATTGAAGCATGAGTTCTACTCAAGGGGCGATAAGATAGCTTCTCAATATCGCTCACTGAAGTTGTCTTTCATCAAGATTTCAAACAACATCAACAATTACATTCAGCAACTAATACTGTTGTTCTGAACAGGCAAAGCTCTAAAGGACTTCTATAAGCTAACACACCCTTAGCATTGGAGCTGTCAGAGGAAAACAAAAACAAGTTTCATTCAACTGAATGTTGGCTGCGCGTAGAGTAAATGATAGGACGCAGGTACACCAACAGTAGCATACCGTAATGTCTGGGCTGGTTTTTTACATAGTGATGGTTGATTCCTTCGTTCTTGTCACTCAAATCTTTGGTACTTATTTTTCAGTCGAATACCTTTACTGTTCCACATGCTTTTCACACACTTCGCGTAACATCTTTCATTCAGTTCTTTCCATTTAACCTTTTTATTGCTCTGGTTTTGCATGATCGTTTACATCACTGCTTGGTGTAAAAATGAAGCAGCTTTGTTGCACGTTTCATATTGTGTCCAAGTACTGGTGTCACGATGCGATTTTCATCTGACAGATTTCATCTGACAGAAGCGGATATCCGACCTCTGTAGGGCTGCGTGCATACTTTACGTTTTCGGCGGAGAAACGGAAGAGAGCTACGCAGCCGTAGGAATGAAATGCTGCGACGCAATTTTACACCACTTTTGCACCACTTCGCGTACCGTACCCCACAGCTCACGCCTAATTTTGATGATTGGTATAGGTTTATTCGGCGTGCGTTTCAGGAACGGTACATTTAATGCATGTTGTATGTACGATACAACAATTACTATCAAGTCACGTCTGATAACAGCTAACCACAGCTATTCACATCATAATAACTTCTGGCTTGTCTGAACTGGAATATTCTAACGAATGAATCATGAACGAGAATAATGTAGGGAGCACAATTTTATCTGATGCGCTTTGTTTGCAAGTTAGCCTGCCAGAGGATGACACGAAGACAACAAGAGAATAGGAGATCGTCAGTCACTAGGTGTAAGTGATCACTGAGCGATAATTTGAAGGGTGGGGGCGAGAAATAAACATAAAAGGCGAGCAAACATGAAAACATAAAAACTAGAAGGATCTTTCCATGTCAAGTTATGTTTATCTCTGCTGATATCTCGTCGATGGAGGTGAAGCTTGCAGCTGCACAAATCTAAAAGCCTGAAATGCATACCTGTGGAAGAGTGGGAGCCATGGTATTGGATTCTTGTTCCTGAATAGGGCTAACCTGTCATAGATAGAGTCTGAGGCAGTAACCCCTGCGCACGGAAAGAAAAAATGTACTAAGTAAGAAACGAAGGCAAGCAGCACGTTGTTTGGAGTGAAATTATTCTCGACGTGTTACTCCAACTTGTGATTCGTTGTGATGATTGATCTACGTACGAACTATGGTAAACTATTTTCCTTTTTTGCGAGGAAGAGATTGCGGTAGAACTTGAATCTATCATTTATGACTCTCACTTACTTGAAAAGGACGCTGTGAACAAATTTTAGGTACATGTGAATGCTACACCTATCACTTCTTAAATCTCTTATAGTAGGCTTCGATATTGGGCGCCGGACTTGTCGTCTTGTTGAGCCCTTACCTGACTGCTTGTGAAGGCACTATCCTTGAATGTGCTGCAGTACTTACCTGTCTCGGGAACACACTAGTAGTCTTTACTTGCTAAAATGGCACACCTTCCTTTTCATCTAATAATTCTGTCTCTGCTTCACTCCTCTTATTGATCATAACTGGTCTGCTTCTGCAGAATTTTGTAGAACCTAGCAGCAGCTCTGCTCTAGCATGCCCCGTGTGGCCGCGCCAAAATTAGGCGTGAGCTGTGGGTACCGTACGCAAAGTGGTGCAAAAGTGGTGTAAAATTGCGTCGCAGCATTTCATTCCTACGGCTGCGTAGCTCTTCTTCGAGAAACGGAAGGTAGGTATCAATCTAGTGTTCTGAGAAAACGCCAGCTCTTTTCGCTCATAACGATCAAAACACCGACAAACTGCCTAAGTGTAGAGGCGGCTCGAAGTGTTGAACATGTTCAGCTTGCCGCTAGCGCTAGCGGAAAAGGGTCTTGTTACTTCTGCTCTTTAGCAAACAGTTAAGATATGATCCTCTCTCGTGCCCCATTTCCTATTGCAGTTTAATTAGAACAATACTAGAATTCAGGAATTACGGAAAATTTCCATGTTAATCGTTTCAGGAGAAAGATGATAGCACTGTGCAGAAATGCCTTGTTATCTCAGTCCAAAAACCTGCTCGCCATTCGCGCAATGGCATCACAACCGGACCCTTTCGTTATGGAAACACTTTCAGGCTCAGATGAAGGTTTGTGATGAATTATTTGGGGAAGAATCTTCAGTATCATGCTACGTCCGTTTGCTTCTTCAAAATCGCTGTTTTGTTTCACTGTGAAATAGTCCACTGAAATAGATCAGGGTGATCTGATACATCAGAGGCTACATCAAAGGCGCTTAAAGGCACGTCCCGGTTCAATCATGGTGCGTAGTGGGGCTCAGTTACAACTTGACTAGTTGGTAGTCAAGTCAATAGTGGCAGTCAAGGTTTAGTTAATATTGGAGAGGAAAAAGTCAGGAAAAAAGGTCCGTATACCTATAACTGAACCTAATTCAATCAATGCTTATACTAGCTTATAGCGAAGAAAGGGTGTGCTTGGAATTATCCTTCGATGGTTACATAACGATATCAGCTCTTTCCCGCTGTCACTTTACTCTCTTCATTCGAAACAGAAAGACCTAAAGAGTAGCTCAACAACAACACCTTCAGGAACATTCGAGTGAAAGCTGGATGTAAAGGTATACAGGGGGGGGGCAAAAAAAGTCACTTTTCTTCATTGACTTTCGAGGCGCTATAAGTTACACTTTATTAATTCTGATCGGACATTTTTACCACCATATTAAAGAGCATATCAAATACTATCATGACACTCCGCCACAGCCTTCTGGACGAGCGCCATCGAGAGATTCTGGCACGCGACCGCGATGTGGTGCCTGAGATCAGCGAGATAGTCGATTTCTCCGCTACCGTAGACCACCCTATTCAAACTCCGCCCCCGAGCAAGGGTAATTGAGGAATGATTTCATGGTCAGCGGGACGTCTTGATTATTCCATCTCCTTTATGTACTTCAAGCTATTCCATTCCAATGTAGGCGCGGTGGGAGTATTCTCCAACGCCTTCGATTCTCCCACTTAAGGTGGCACCCAGTGCCGTAGCAGTACAAAAGTTTCCTCAAAAAGGTACGGGGCGAGATACCCATTGTGGGGAGGATGTTCTTATCGAGTTGTTCGATGTAACCGCCAGCGCTCAGCTTCAGGTCCGGGTCCACGAAAAAATAGCTGGTCCTTCCATTCCAGGTATGTCCGGTCCCCACCATCAGCCGGCGCCTTGGCGATTTAGGGGGGCGAATGATGGATGTCCTAGACCGTATAAGACCGTCTGTCGGAAGCTGTCTCGATGCTTAGAGGCCATCAAATATCGATGATTACTTGATCTCCAAGGTATAACCATGGTGACTCCAATTCCAGAAAGTTTCGCAGCTCTTTGGAGGTTACGTGAATTCCAAAGGTCTTCTCCAGTCAGGCTGCGACTGGAGATGACTTCATATCTTCGTGTACATGAAGGTGATGGGCGAGAGCCAGCTCCTGCTTATAGAGGAACATCTTGGGTATCTTCCGCCCTGGTACTCGTATCCACGTCCTCTGTCTGGGCAGCGAAAACTTTGCTGATATGTGACTCGGTCGAAGTGTCTTTTTTGCCCCCCCCCAAGTAGTAGTGGCACTGGGTGGGGCTGCTCTTCCAACTGGCGTTTGAATGAGCGGTCAACGCTTCATAGAACGCCCATTCAGTTTGGCGTTTCTTCTCGAAGCAGCAATTTATTTCAGATTAAAAAAATAGGGGTGCGTCCATACTTCGCGATTTATCGCTCTGCTTCTGCAGTTAGAGCGACCAAATCACGTGGTATCGTGCACTACTGCGCTGAAAACCAGTGTAAATAATTTGATGTGGAGGCTTTCTGTGGATATTTGAGGTGGCGTTACTACTTCTGTGCATGGTTTCTTGCTACACGGAAATTCTCTTATTGTGAATTGTACTTACTTGACCTGGGCTTTTGTATTTTAAGGGATTGTCCTGTTTAGGATGAACCGTCCCCAGACCAAGAATGCGATAAGCAAGTTGTTTTTAGAGCAAGTAAGTTGACAGTCGAGACTTCTTTTTTTCCTTTTTTTTATTGTATGGAGTTAGATCGTGTTTTTAAGAAAGTTTCAGCTCAGGGAAAGTATTTCGTCCGTGAAGTTCAACAAGAATGCACGTGTTATTATTCTTAAGAGTGACGTTGAAGGAGCTTTTTGTACAGGTGCGACGTTAACCTATGCTTTTTTCTACTATACAGTTCTTTAAAGGCAATTAGCACGATAAATCCCTAGGATTAAAAACGCCTTTCAAGCAAGAATTTCTGCACCCCGCTGAGCAGGTTGGCTGGCGGTAGGCGCCAATCCCTAAAAACCGGTACCCTTTTATGGCCGTTCCGAGCCAAAACATACCGACCGGTCGTTCACCGCGCCCGCCCGCCCACTTATGTCCGACCGATGCTAATGTTCGTATTGCTTCATTTGCGAAGTGAAGTATGAAGCGAAGGGTGATAAGACGCGGCCGCCGTGCTGCATGGACATATGAGTCCGTACATACAGCCATATCTACCGTAGTGGTTACTGGCGAGATGCATACGAAAATTCGTCTGTAATCGACGTTGGAGTCATTAAAGACATCCCCGCGCTAGAGTAGTACATGTTCGTCCTTCCTTATGCAAGTAGTGCATCCCCCTAGCTAGAGACTTTCCCACTCTCTTCGTCTCCACTGCGAGCGAGGAGCGAGCTACAGCCGCTGAAGTTCTAGTTCTAACGCCCGCCCAGTTGGACCGCCCACTTGCTAGATGCCCTCTGACGGAGGGCCGCTCAGTTGTTCTTTGTTTGGGCGGCGGGCATTAATCGGACTCGCGCACATGAATAAATCTACTCTCCTTTACTACATTCTATCACTGGAGCACATACAGTTAACATTCCAATTCATTCGGCATGAAGAAGCGTAAGAATCACGAGCCACCCAATTTTCGTGGTGCAAAGGCTCGACGCACTACGCTACACTAAAATATGAACGCTGGCGTAACCCTAAATTCGGACCCGGAGTCTTTGGAAGTTTCCTTTCCTTCTAAGGAGTTTTTCTTCCGTGTTCTTGTTGCTTTACGTATTCTTTTGTTTGCACTGGATGAGGTTCACTCTGGGAGAGATGATGAAGGGATTTATGAGCCAGAGGTTGCACAGGGACCGCAGAGAGGTGTGAGTGTGAGTATGAGGGAGCGATTTTGTTTATAGTGTTCTGTGAACTCTTCTTCCTTTTTTCTTCTTTGGGGAATTACTTATCAGCTACTGTTCCATAACTGAAAAGCAACTATCCATGACAATCGTGGGAGTTGTCTTTAAGAAAGAAAAATTTTCTTAACAGGTTTTTGACCATTTCATTCGTTTTTTCGCCAACTAAGCACTCTGCTAGCACTCCAGACCCAGCACCAAATTATCGTGCCATGTGCCTTTAATCTTCATTTGAAATCCTAACAGCCTTTTCGCTGGCTGCAAAAAATTACGGTTAATAGTATGTGCAACATATGCTGCTCTCAAACGCTCTTGTATTCTAGGGGCTGACCTCAAAGAACGTAAATCAATGCCTGTGGAGGACGTGCCCAAATTTGTAGACTCATTGCGATCATCTTTCAGTGAGGTACGCCAGTTCTGGTTCCAGTATCGCAGAGTCTGTGTACTCACCTTTAACAGAGCTGTTCCCTTGCCATTTGTGAGGTGGTTGGGTCTGCAGTTGCCGTGCCACCTCCTCCGCTCAAAAGAATACGGGAACGGGGTGGAGGGTAACTATACTCAAAAGCCGTGTCTATACTACGCTCGCGTTGCCGCCGCACAACCAGCCATTCCGCCTAACCATAGCTGAACGCGCTGCTTCTCTGCGCTCTCTTACTTCTGATATTATCTGCGGCTGGGTGCGTGTTTCGCTGCTAGACTTTGGTAGCGACGCAAGTGCTGCACTTGAAGATAGCGCGGGCGGAGGATGGAGATGGCACCCGGATACCACTACCCTCCGACCCTGCCATGCACTGTTGAGCGGAGCAATCGTCACACTACCGCAACTATGTACCCACGCATCCTCACAAATGGCAAGTAAATGATCCGCGGATGTGAATGCTTAGTTTGTTTTTGAGTTTGGTCGCTTTTCCTTTTAGCTGGAGTTCCTCCCTCAACCCGTGATCGCGGCAATTGATGGCTATGCTCTCGGTGGTGGTCTGGAAATGGCTCTGGCTTGTGATATACGAGTTGCCTGTAAGGATAAAGAAAAATTGCTTGTGCATCCACTTGTCCTTCTAGACTTCATGTATGTCTTGGGTGCATCAGGAATTGTCAACCTCAGCTTCGTTTGCAGTAGCCCAGCTAGATAAATAATGTAAAAAGTTCTTTCAGCAAGTAGTGCCAAAATTGGATTGACCGAGACGAGATTGGCAATCATTCCCGGAGCAGGTAATGTTTCATTTCTTTTAGTTGAACTGATTTCAATTCCTAAACTTTTTATCCTTCATTTAGGAGGTACGCAGCGACTCACTCGGGCTGTCGGACCGTCAATGGCAAAAGAACTTATATTCACTGGGCGAATGATCAGCGGTGAAGAAGCATGCAGAATAGGTTTTGGTAAATCACTGGCACGAAAGTTCGCACGCCTCTCCGAAGGCCTAAAGAAATCGCCCGAGAAATCGTTCCCAGGGTAGGCTTGTAGTTAATTGTTGTTCGGTTTTCACGTCATACTTTCCTGAACCACATAAGAGCAGAAGAAGGTTGAAGTCTTTGCTTCAAATAGACCCTTCACGGGATGCGGCACGCATTCTACCTCCGAAATCGTAGTGGCTTGCTGCATGTGATGTGGCCTATATAAGATGTGACCCTGTGTTTTGCGGGGGCCAGCCAATATAAAAGTCAGCTTTGTTATCCTTCGGGACGATACTGGTACCAATTTACTGTTCCTTGGAGGTAGACAGCTCGGTTACTTGGGAGAAAGTCAATCCGGAATTTGACCCCGGTCGGCGGCTCGTAAACGTGACACTCTCCATTACACCACCTCCGCCTCATTAAATCACTAATGCAGAGTAACGCAAGTATTCCTGTTTTCGACGACTTTTGCGTCCATCTACAGAAGTAATCATCAAATCGGCGAATAAAATTACCTTGAAGGTATTTCTTTGAGTTCCACCCCCCTTCCACCGTATACCTTCTCTCATTTCCTCTTTTCCCATCTTTCTGTTACAGGGTTTTTCTCTATTTCTTGGCTTATATTTGTCCTTACGCAATCATTTTCCAAAGAACAGCAAGCCGTGGTGCTATGCAGATAAAATTCATATTTTTTTTTTTTTTTTTTTTTTTTTTTTTTTTATTTGTGGTCGCCGGGAATAGGAGACTAGAAGAGCGCGCGCCAAAAGGAAAGCATAAGCATCGAACCGGCGATTAGGGATAATCCTAGAATGCGCGTCAAAGGGGTAGTGAATGGCCATTTATGGTTCCGTTTTCCCTATGCAGACGGAGTCGATCGATTTTCTATCTTCTCTTCATGGATTGCTCACTAAAACCTCCTATTCCCCTGATTCGCCACATAGATACTTATGTTTCCTTCCACTTGTATGCCCGTTCATTCTTGGGTTTACTTCAGGTTTAGAATAGACAACTTTAGGGCATTGACAACCTTTTGAATTTCGTGCTTCACTACCCATCTTGATTTCGTTACTATTTCCGCATGTGCAGACTGACCCGTCATTATTACAAGCAACCCGTTTTCTTTTAATCTAGCTACCAGCAACTGCATGGCACGCTTACTACACGCAC